AATATCGAAATATTATGGCTCAGGTATTCATTTGCTTACTTACTTTGTGTAGGCATTATGTTTCCTATTATTTTACATTAAATGTTGAAAACCTTGTGTGTTGGAAAGAGAGAACCACGTGCCCCATCTGTTCTGCCTCACGTTCACAATAAAGACCTGTTCAACCACACGTCTGGCTTCTCGTATAGATAAGACGAGGGCTATCTACCAGCACGAAGTTGGTAGGCCCGACGTGATTATCCCAACCTTTGGCATGTCATATATCACCCGTGAACTGCGATTTATGATCAAAGTTTCTGATCTCTCGAGGAGAATATATACCGACTCTATATTTAATATAATGATTGGTGATTTATCATCCGTATAAACAATGAATTCGTTTCACTCCAACATCTACGTGAAATGATGAATGGCTAGGAAGATCACAAGAACTTTCCATCGTTAAGTATAATATTCCGCCTAAGCTAGAACGGGTCTCTTTAAGTAGAATTCAGTTGGCTGCCAAAGGTTTTCAACCGGTCGATTACGGATGGCGCCCACTCCATCGGAGCGATTGAAGCATGGTAATTTGGCTGAATTAATGTAGACTTGTAACAGCTTAGGTTGATTGGTTGAGAGTTGACCTCAAACAACCAAGTATATGTCAAAACGGTAGAGCTCAAATATTCATTCATTTTCCTATTTTGTGTAGGCGTCATATTTCCGATTATATTACATTGAATGTTCAGAGGCTTTGTTTGTCTGAACAGGTAATCCCACCTTCCACTGTGACTGCGCGAAGATCTAAACAAAGACCTATTCACTACTAGTCTGGTTTCTTCTATCAATAGCACGAGGGTTACCTACCGGCACGAAAGACTCTTGGGATAGTCTATCTTTTGGCTGTTTAGTAACCTCAGGAGCCTCAGAAGCCAGCTTAAAATCATTCGGTTTTCCTTTAAGAGAATCTATCAAAGGCTTTACTGATTATATGCAGATGTGCGTGAATCTACAATAAACGCTAACTAAAGCTAGCAAATGTCCAAGTAATACTGACGAACTTGGTATAGGGTGTTGCCTGATGTTACATGCTTCTTCTTCGATTGATGTAGTTTCTTGTGAGTTTATTGTGTGTTTGGCAAATCTCATAGTTTAAACACCAGAAAACCTACTTTGACGTATGTTCGTCTCATTTTCATCTAGCCATTTTAACATTACTCCCATGTGTTGTTCATAAGATAGTAAATCCGAACTCGCAATTAACGAATTATATGCACAGGTCTTATCCCGAAGTAGGTTGTCCATAAATCTTAGAAATATTTGTGCTGACGTCTTCAGACCAGTTGGCATGCGTAAAAACTCAAACAGTCCAAAACGTATAGTAAAAGCTGTCTGAGGGATATCTTCCACAGACGCCGGGATATTGTGATACTTTTAAGCCGTTTTTATAATCTCGGATATGAGGGTTGGGTACTATTCTAGTAAGATTCGACGGCTAAAGGATCAGCAAAGTCTACGGGGTGGCCAGTTGCCTTGATTTCTCTTTGAGGCCATGTGTAGAGGAGATGCCAATATGCTATCGGAGGGATGGACAATTGGCTGCTGTAGCATGTAGTCCAGTTCCACCCTAGCGACCTTAAGCTCATCTAGTGCTAGCCCCCTGGGTCTAGTAAGACTGGTTGATCCCTAGTTTTCATCGTGTGAATTACCTTTAGCTTACCGTTGGAAGGATGAGGATTAGATTCATTTAGGTTTCTAGGTTCCTCGAGTATATCTTGAAACTTAGCATTGGTTACTAGCGAAATCGATAACAAATTCTGAGAAGTGGTATTACATCCTTCACCCTTTGTTTAATTCGAAGTTTCTGTAAGTGTCAAACGTCGTTTACTATTATCGCCCAGAAGTTTATATCTCCCTAAAACGTCCATTCCCAGCGACGCTATATACAAGTCAACTGCGGTTAACACCTAGGGGGATCACCTTTTAGACCCTAAGTCTAGTGTCAACGTTTTCTGCCAAACGTCGCGATTTTAGTCTTGTCGGAAGCTTGTAGTGATACTGTAATAGTTTTTTGACCCAGCTCTGTTTTGTTCTGAGGAATGACACTAGGTGCAGCCCCCATATTCACCAAAATATTCAAGCCTGAATTTCTGTCTCTAACACATAATGAGCGAATATTTAGGTCCTCCTCATCTCGGTCGTCACGACTTTTAAGTGTGTTATCTTTTTCCATACTTTGGGATTCTTTTTATGCCGGCGGCTGACTGAACCTGACATTGGTAACCTGTTCTGTGACTTGGATCTCGGTCTTTGTGGTGACCTGCTCCTGTTCCCATGATTTATTTACATTTTAATGGCAGTCTTGTGTAGGTTTTAACGGCCGAAATGCGTTCTTCCATGACTAGGTTTTTTTATGCGACAAAACCTTTCTTTAAATGTATAAAAGCTCACGTATTTTTGTGGCAAAACTGAGTCTTACCAGACATGTGACTTTTTCATCTGTTTGTAATTGATATGGGGAGGAAACAGTTGCGCTATTCATACGTCAAACGACTAACCACCGATTAATCTTATGCATTCCATCAATTTTTGACGTACTAACCCTTGTTTTCTTTAAATAACATAATCACATCTGTTTGGCTATCTAATAACATGTTGGTCAATCTCTTACCTACGTGTGTTGGGAATAAATTCAAAGTTTATAGGAATCTAAAACCAGAACATGACTAGTACATATGAAATATTATCGGTTAAACAACAAGCTAAGCATAATGATATTTGACTAACCAGCTTTGCTTATTATTATTGTCTCTACTAGTGCTGATACTCACTGATATAAATTACTCTATCTACTATATTTCAACTATGAATCAAAAACCCGAAATGCAGTCATATTTGTCACATTTAATCATATTTATTGATGCCATCGGCACGGTTTGACTGGATAATTTCAAAATCTTGAGTTTTGTATGAATAATTATAGATGAAAATAAAATATTATTAATATCCCAATGAGTAAAAAAATTAAATATTCAATTTTTTCGAATTTTCGTAACTAGATGTTTGTCACTTCTTTAGAGAATAAATAAACCAATTAAATTAACCCAAGTTTAAATAGTACAAAGGAGTAAAGCAAGAATATTTGGTGCGATCAATCAAAAACTAGTCTGACTAAGTTGATATCATGTCGTTCCGGCCAAGGTGATATATATGATTCACGTTTGTGTATTTTTGTGTGTGTTAAATGATGGGAAAATTTGACATTCGTGATGTAAAGGGATAGAGTTGAATTTGTATTTACGATGTGAATAGAATCAGACACGGCAGCTCGAACTGATGGGCCAAGTTGGATGGATAGTGTGGCGTTCTTTTCTATTAAGGACAATAGGATTATGCAAAACATGGAAAGCTTCAGCTACTCTCCTTTCTTTGTAGTTGAAAAGCTTTGTTGTATTATTTTGATATTTTTAACATCCACTTGATGGTTATTGAAAATGTCATCCACTACTGTCTTCGATCTAATTTGAAGCTTTTTCAGTTTTATGGGATTACTAGTGCTTTCTTCGTGTGCCTAAGATATCCTTTGACTCGAGTCAAGATTTCATGGACTTACTCTGCAACATAGTAGGAATCACAACGGACATTCCTTAATTTGTAGACAAAATTCTGTATTGACTTGACGGCGATTTTTTCTTCTAAGTGAACTACAGCATTTCGAAGAGTGTTCGTCGTTTATGACATACTTTAATTCTGTGTTGTTTCAGGACTCCTAGAAGTCCTTCTGCTACACCATGACGGCATGGTGAGACTTCAGTGTCAATCCCTGGCATTTTGTTCAGGTTATTATTTGGCAGCAAAACGTGTGATTTCGTTTTTATTTCTAACAATATTCATAAGAAATTGATTATATCGTAAGATGTTAGTTATATGCTTTTGTTATTTTTGTTTTTCCTCTTCAGATGTAATAATCTTGTTTGCACTTACAAAGTAATTCAGGGCTAGAGAGATTGTTACACCGTATGGATGTGCTGAATTGGAGTCAGTATAACGATTTCAATACGTTGGTTTTCGGTAGATGGCTAGATTTAGAGCTTCAGTTAGATTTTTTTCAAGTGGAGGGTATAAAAACGGTAGCTCGAAATTTACATTTGCACTCTCGTACGTGGGTTTAATATGAGATAAATGTGTTCGTCAGTTTAGTAAAAGGTCTTAAGTGGGTCTTTTTTACGACAATAAAATATCATATGCATTCGCGGTTCAGTGTCATTGGCGAAAATATTTGATTATATATGACACAAATAAGTTGGCTGTAATCAGGACACGAGGGATCCTTTTGTTACTCGACTTACCTGAATATATAATGTTCCGTTAAAAGTAAATCAGGATGAAGTTAAAAACTGTTTTAAGGATTCCATGACTAGACTGATGCTTGAAAAACATCTGTCCGATAAAATATTGCCATCCTCTAGTAAAGTCTAAGCAGACAAACAGCAATACTCTGCAAATACAAGGTTTTCAAACCTTCATTCACATTTCTGATCATATAGTTTTGATCCGTTTCATGTAACAACTTCCTGTTCGTCGTCAGGCAACATATAGTAACGTTATCTCAGTTACTGTACATGTACGAGGTATTGTTGACACTAATCATATTATGCTAAGAATAAAAACTCTTCTCCTAGCATCATACACTTGTAACGTCTAACACTATAATGTTTGACGGTAAAACCATTGTAGCAGTTCTTACCTTATCACACAATTGGATATCCAGCTGGAAGAATAGACGATCCACTGGTATTAGACAGACACCCTATATACCTAAAGCTTCAACATTTTTCTCTGAAAAAAATAAAATATCATTTAATCAAACATTATAGGCAGCGAGATATATTTGCAACTCAATTTTTGATGTTTGCTCTCTTTCGATACATTTGTTTTTCTGAAGCACAGCTAACTAATCTACCGAACTACTTAAGGGTCAATTGTGAATAAACTTTCTTTTCTCGCGTTTAGCTGGTCATATGTCTATCGTATGGTTTGATAGCATAAGTCGTCAGCGTAATCCATGCAAGAGGCCTAGTGAAAACAATAATTTTTGTAACAAAAAACGGAAGAATTACAGGCATACACCTATATCTAAGAAATCTCAGATAATTCAGTCATCTGGCCCTAACAGTGTTACTCATAGTCCTTGCGTCGTGGCTCCATCTATCCAAAAATTACGTGAGAATATTTTGAATGCTTATGTAGTTAAAGAAACAGAAATGATAGCATTTTTCCATTTGCTGGGTATAATAATTTTCGTATTAATTTCCTTTAATCCAAAGAGGATACCACAATTAAAAAGTTTCTTGCCTTCGACATGTGCTTCAAATATGCGGACAATGTAAGCTTATGGAAATTTCATCGAATATTTTAGTTTGCGATCGCCTATGTGTTCGCCTATTTTAAAAGATGTAATCTTTCAATTCAAGAATATAATCGAATGAACTTTTTTTGCTGTCTGTGAGTGTGACATCTTTTTTTTTACATTCCGATCAAGGTATCTTGTGCATGATATAGAAGAAGATGATGGGGATCACAAATATGAAATTCTTCCATGGGCTCTTGGCTCATTTTGGCAACAGAAAATATCGAGCTTTTCTCGACAGAAAGAGGCTTTATGGGCTAGAATGGATTATCGAGCTGTGGTTAGCTATAGATGCTGCAAAGAAGTATGTTTGGTTTTGTTTTCTACTATGATGAAGCTAATGAGTATTTTTCCATCACATCCTGTATGGGGCCGAAACAGACTTCCACATCATGGAGGAGCTATTCGAGCTTATCTAAAGCCCACTGACTCGAATATTCCGCAGGGTCCGAAGTCTCTTCCAAGGTACAAAACACCAACAAACATGACAGATTTTATTACTATATTCGTTTTGTAGACTATGTGATGCCTGTAAACTGTTCTATGCAAGAGACACTGTTCCTAAATGTTTAATTGCAAGTGAAAACTTCCTTACCCCAGAAAATTCCCCAAACCTAAATGACTCAGCTTTCCATAGTCTATTTGAAGGTAAAAATTACAAATTTGCTAAAATCAGCAAAATTAAAGACGATTCGTTCAGCAGCTTTAGAAACGAGAATGGACCAAACATGAATACTGGGTTTCAATCATATAATTCATGCTGTAATGAAAGTTGGCTCTCTCAAGAAACGTACTGTTATGAGCGAAGTAAGAGTGTATTCAAATTTTAAAACAAATTGGTTTTCATCTTAACAACACAGAATTTTAATTATTTATGGTACTGAATGCATAGTATCTGCCAGAATACTATTTACATTTTAACAATGGTAAATATATTGATGGGTGACATTCAGGTGGGACTTGCAATAACACCTGCTTGGTTTAAAAACTGTGAGTGATCAGTAACAGACCTAAGGACTTTACATAGCCAGATGTGTCTAAGTCATGATTCTTATAAATGTCATGTTTGGCGTTATGATGTGTAAACGGTTTGATAAAATAAGTGGTATGATTACGGTGGTCGGACAAATAGTTAGCTCACATTATCGACCGGCTTACCTAACCAGGTCAGTTCTTGGAAGAAAAGACTAGTAGTTAACAGAATGAGCATCATATATATAAAACACCCAAAAAATTGTATGAATGAGCTAGTTGTCACATAAAGACCAATTAATAAAGAAAATACTCAGAATTTTAAAGGAACTAGAAATTCTGTACTTGCGTTTGTCATAAAAATTACGATACTGTTTTCCCAGGACTTACAATGGCATAAAAACTGTAGTCAGTTTTAAGTCTGTACCGGAATGTACAGATGGAACATTGTGAAATAACAGAAAAACCTGTAATAGTGTTTTTAAAACCAATGTTTTTTAATTCCCAGGACTTACTTTAATGATAAACAGCAAGATAACTAACATATATGAAATAACTCTCAGTTTGCTTCCTTAAACCAATGGAACACAAATTTACCTTCGACTAATATGTACACTAGATGCCCTCCTAGTGTTCATTTTACAGGACTTCAACACAACTTGAATCAAGAAAAGGTGATTGGCCCGACTAGAAAGTGAGTATATTTCCACGTCGACAACTGACTTTAGTAATAATAAGGGTAGGACAATATTTAACACATCTAAGATTTGTCAGACTATCCATTAGTCTGACTGGGTAAACATCCAGTCATTATTTTCCTTACCCATACATCAATGTAACTTTTATTATTTATCAGTTCTCTGGTTAATTACACTTTGTGAACATCGTTTACCATCGTACTAAAGCCTTTAAGTATTGCGCTTAAGTTTAATCTCCAAATGGTACATTACTGAATACTGAGGTCACAAATATGTTACTTATATACTGATTTGTATTTGATTCGTAGTAAATGTACTCTGAATATGTTAAGCAATTCATGGATTTAAAAAGGTTGGTAAACAAGTATGTTTTGAGTAAAAGTTGTTGCTATCACTTAATTCACTCTTGGATTGGTAAATCATTTTGTTCTCCAGATTGTACCCTAGTAAGCGTCCCAAGTTTTAGGTTTCTTTAAATTAACGAAATTTACTCACTTACGCCTGTTACTTCCAATGGAGCATAGGCCGCCGACCAGCATTCTCCAGTCCACTCTATCCTGGGTCTTCCTTTCTAGTTCTATCCAATTCTTGTTCATTATTCGCATATCTATCTCCATTTACCGGCGTAATGTGCCTTTGGTCTTCTTCTTTTCCTTTGGCCTTGAGGATTCTTGGTGAGGGCTTGCCCTGTATGTCCTGTTCACTTCCAATGCTCCTTCCCGATTCCTTTCTCCTCTAGAATCTGGTTTGTTCTCCCCAACAGTAGGTTGTTGCTGACGGTGTCTGGCCAATGGAACTGTTGATAAACACCTGTATCTTCTGGATGATGGCTTTTGTAGTTCTTCAGGTTTCCACTCTATATAGTAGTACTGTCTTGACATTTGTATTGAGAATTCTGAATTTGGTGTTGGTTGACAGTTGTCTTGAGTTCCAGATATTCTTCAGTTGTAGATATGCTGCTCTTGCTTTGCCGATCCGCGCCTTCATATCTGCATCAGATCCACCATGTTCATCAATAATTCTGCCGAGATATGTAAAGGTTTGTAGATCTGCAAAAGCCTCTCCGTCAAGTATGAAGCAAAATTTCCAATTATATGAACCCAAATGAGTTTTCACAACTCATTGGTGTTTACTAATGAGAGTAAAAAAATCCGTGAAAAATTTCTCATCAGGATGTTCAGGAAACAGATATTCACAAAGTAAAAAATACGTCACCTCACAGAAAGCTCAGGGTTGTGTTATTACAAGATATTACTGAGACTTACTACTACCAACAATTATTTAATTTTCATTTCAGATATTTTATTAAAAATGTCGAAACATTTATATCATAAAGTTTTTTATTCTATAACGTGTTCTGGATTTGGAATGAATGTTACTCCTTATTGAGTGAATAATAATAACTTTTAAAATCCTTTTTAGCCATTTCTGGTATTGAAAACGAATATTGCCTTATAGATGAAGAATAAAAGGAAGAAAACTGATGAAACACATAATTCGCAGTTTTAAAAACTTATAGTCGCGCTGTAAATAATTTTTATACGTCATATACTGTAACATGTTAAGTACATAATTTGCAAATTTTAGAATTAAAAGTTTTACACAAGCTATTACGTTTTCTACAAAATCAAACAAAAAGGAACACAAAACGTCCATCTTTAGAATACAGAAAACTGCTCTGAACAGAATAGCGAAGGTTATCTTTTTTTGATATTGAACTATGCTTAAAACATCGAGACACCTCTCGGTTAATCGAAGTCCGCCTTGTAAACACAAGCCAGTTTGTTTTGCGTTTCTTTGGATTGAAATAGACTGAGTTTGCTCTCTCCTCAGACCCAATATACAATTTGGGTATCTCTATCATTTTTAAATCAAGAGCAAATTATTAATCATGACGTTGTAGCAAACAATTAAGCGCATTTAATCCAAATTGCTCTGAAAAATGAACTATCAGAGCAACATTTAGGAATGAATCCTTGGTGAATGATCAAGTTAAGAATATTTATTTCAGATGCCTATGGTCCAAGTAACTTTTTTCACTTTAAGTATAATTTATGTCTAAAACCAGATAATTATGGTCTGTATAGTGCAAACATAGGTATCAAAATCCTTAACTTAAGCTTGGGGATGTAGCAGTAGTTTTTGACTTTGACGGTATTTTTGGTTATTCGATTAGAAATGGCGGAAGTTTGCACCACGAATATCACGCCACTCTAAAACGCTCATGATAGCAAATAGTTTTGTCACGATAGTTAGTCTTGTCAGAAACTCAATTTCGGAAAACGGTGAGACGAAAGTACTATCTCAGATATTTATAATATAACTGAGTAGCTAAACATTAGTGCATTAAAATAAGTTATATTCATCGCTTCTCAAAACATTAGTCTCGATCAAGAATGTTTCCGACTGTGAAATAAGTCTTTCATTATACGTTTACTAATAAGTATATGTAGCAAACGTTATATTTCCTGACGTGTATTATAATGCTTTTTAAAATGATGCTACCGAATTTTCAAAAAGTCACTTTACTTGTTCATCAGAAAGGAAACCACATTAGACGAAAACTGCTGAACAGGTACAAACGCTTAGGAGTTTTAAAGGTAGTAAAACTATAATCTATTCAAAAACGTAGATCGGAAAGTTTAATAAATGTTGTGTGTAGACCCTGTTTGGTATGAACATAATGGCTGGTTACTTGACTTCAAGTGGTATTATGGTACAATAATACATGATATAACCATCACTGGTGGTTCTCAAAGATTAAGATGCACGGCATCGTAAGGTTTTCGTTAAATTTAGAGAAGGGCTTTGTTAACTACGAATAATATTCAAAAATGCCTTCCAAACCTTCTACATTGGCGGAAAAATGAATCGAGGCTAGAGAAAAAGGCTATTTTATAGGAACTCAGGAATTAGTCTCATTGCTGGTGACATTCGCTACTTTCGAATTTGTAATGTAAAAACTGTACGATGAGTAAACGTTTACGGAATATTTGGATGTTTAAACTCTTAGTTTTGTAAAACCATTTTAAATAGTAGCCAACACAGGAGTGTAACACGATCTGACAAAAATGAGTTACCTCAATAATTTTGCTTCGCATTAATCTACATAGAAATCTTTTCTGTAACACAAAGAAAATATAGTAATGTCCTATATTTGACCACATATAATCAATAATTAGTAACTTGTGGTCTAAATCAATATGATTTAAGGACTTTTCATATCGACAAATAAACAAGTTAGGGATAATCTGAGAATAAATTGTTTTACAACTTGTTCAATGAATAAAAGTGTATCGTGTATAAATAGTGAACTTTAACTTCTATCACTCGATTAAAATTTTATTCTTTTAGTTAATCCAAAAGTTATTTTTGATTGATATGAATTTCATTATTTAAAATTTAACATTAGATAATATTTTGTGATTACAATTGATAAAGATCGAAAAGAATGGGAAACAAATACTTTTGAAAAGTCCATTCATTGGATAATCTTAAAAGAAAAATCCCTAAAAAATTAAATTCGTACATTTCGGATATAATCACTTAAAACAAAATATAACACCCAACAAGTTTGTAAAGATTAAATTAAAAAGAACAGTTACAATAAACATTCATCAGCAGAAACTTGTATCTGATTCATTTAGTAAATGAGATAATCAATATAAGAGATATTATGGAAACAAAGATTTTTTATGAAGCTTTAAGATTCTCTATTTTATTCAATTATAATACTATTGATAATAATAATAATAATAGTAATGATCAGATTCATAATAAAACACAAATATACTTGCAATAAAATACATGGATATATCACTTGCATGGAGGGAAAGAGTTCAGAAACGACATCAAAGTAAGCAAGAAAGTAATATTAATGAACGGAAAATATAATTTTTTTGTTTCAAGAAAAAGAGTTAAATCGAAATAAGCATCTAGAATAAGTTGATAAAAACAATAGAGGCAAGTATTTATCAAGCAACATACATATATATTTTTATATATCATCCTGAATGAATGCACAATAAATTTAAACAATCATTTTCATTTCATAAAAAATTGCATAAATGTTTAATATTTTCATTTTATTCTTCTTACTCTTTATATCTTCCTTTGAACTAAACAAAATATGATTGGAACCGAGATTTAGTACAAACACGACATCGACTTATTTCACGTAGTACTTTAGTTTCATCTGGTAAATGATCTGTAATATATTGACCGACTGGTTTTTGAAATTCTGTATTATTACTAACATGACGTAGATAATAAGCTTTTGCATCTGACCAATAATTGCACAAACTCATACCATTATTACATTCTAATAATGGAGAATAACTGAAATATTCAAGACAGCTGCCAGGCGATGAAAGTTGTTGACCACCACCAGTACTTCCAACACTATGCTATTAAAAAAAGAATATTTAAAACGACATATTTATTATGTATTCATAAAATCATTTTTTAATCCATAGTTCCAATACCATGGTTTTGAGGGATAAATCATTTAAGAGTTGTTTGTTTTACATACTGGACATAATGCATCTTAGTTAGACTTTGTTTCCTATGTGTCCATGAACAAAACCTTTTTCATTCATTATACTTTGTGATGATAGATTGGTTTTTTTAGCTTTGTTCTCTATAAGTTATACGTTTAACTACCGAATTATTAAGTGTTTTTAGCTTTCTTGCTGGAAGGACTTTGAAGACCGTTGGTATTAATAGATAATTTATGACTCTAATAACTAACAGCTATAAGACTAAGTCATATATTCTTCTTAAGTAAAGTGGTAATTCATTCATAAACATCACTGGTTGTTTTTCAAATAAAACTTTATTTCTGAATATTACTAATGATTATAAAGACCGACTAAACGACAATGATCTCGCGTAATAAAAATTATGAGACAGAGAAAAACGAAATATGAACTAATGTCCGGAAGAAAATATCTATACCAATTATTTTAAATACATGGCGATAGTTGGTATTAAAACTTTACAAACATTTGAACAAAGTGAAAAGGATGAATAATTTATGGAGCATTACATCTGTCTCTCTGGATGAAAATATAATGAAGGTAGATTTAAAAGTTCAAACCACCGTAGAAACTTGATATATACTGAATTCTGTCAGACCATTACTCTTAATTGTAGAGAAACACCAATATGACTTGTTACAAAATAGTAATAAAAATATAGATGAACAAAATGCTTTTCTATGATATCTCTTCATATAAAAAAATGATTAGGTGGCACTGTGATCACATTTGTATTTTCTACTTCGCCCAAGGTTATAAAAAATTATTTACGTACATGTGGGTGGCTTAGAAGTGTGTTCGATATTGTTTACCTAGCATAGATTTAATAAGCTATACTTTACAGTGTTAAAATTGTTCAACCGAAAAAGTATATAGATTTATAATCTCACCATTACAAAGCTATATCCATCCCAAAGTCTTGCCCAGCCTTCTGGACAGTTAACTTCTTGAAGTTGATTTGCTTGTGCATGAAAAGCATAAGGTTGTGTTGGTGCTTCACAGACAACACAACGAGCAACTCTTCGAGTAACTTCGCTTACATCTAGTGGCATCATTGGAAGAGGTTCTGTGGTAGCTAACCAGTAAGAGCGATCAGCTCGAACACCAAGTTGACAAGATCCATCGCGAAGGCATTGGAAAAATGGCATTATACTGAACATACTTAAACATGAACTATGAGAACCTGAAAAAAGATAAACATTCGCAATTATTCGTATTAGCTAGTAAGTAAATAAAAATAGGAAAAAATTCTACTTCTCAATATACTAAGAATACGAAAGTTATTTTTTTGTTCTGAATATATAAGAAGTTATCAGAATCTAATACATGAGTTGTAAGTAATTATCAAAACAAACAGGTATGATAGCAATAAAAACCTTGGTGAACCATTTTAGATAAATGTACCATACCGTATATTTCGTTTTCGTGGAATTTTGTCTACAGATTTTAATTAAATTGTCTAGTTGTTTATTAACAGTGTAAAAATAACATGTAGTAATGAACAGTGGGCAAGTTGGCTTAAATAAATTTGTATTAAGTTGTAAGTTGAGCTGTAACATATAAATTTAAAAATGACTTTACCATAGATTTTATATTATACCTACACAAAACCCTTTTTTTCCTTACTCTCTGAGCAAAACTGTCAAATGATCATTGTCGATTATTTCAATCACCGACATCTAGCAGTGAATGACAATGATATCTTATTTAATCGATTACTGACCTTTAGTTGTAATACATTCTAGCTTTTTGGTAAAACACATATGTTGCTTTTTAAGATATTTCAGTCAGTCGAATATACATTGTACTATTCAAGTAGCGAGGATCTTTCCCCAGAAGAATTTGTTGAACATTGTTGCAAAAACAAAAACATCTCAGAACATAAAGAAATGTTTTGGGATATAAAATTATTTTCATCCCACTATCTAAAATTTATACAAAAGAACAAAACAGTTTGTAGATTCAAAGGCTAATAAATAGTTAATACATACCTAAATCCATGGTTACTAATTCACCATTTCCATTAGCCATTACAAAACTATATCCGTCTGATATTTTTTGTGAACCTGGAGGACATACAGGTTCAGTGTCAGGATTTTGGAAATGCCTTGTGAACAAGTAGGTGCTCTGTAATGCTTGACCAGGAGGACCGCTGAATCCTTCAGGTCCGGGGGGTCCAACATCTCCAGGCATACCTCTTGGACCAATATCACCAGGAGTACCTTTTAACCCTGGATCTCCTTTCGGTCCTGGTTCTCCAGGTTCTCTACCAGTGGGACCGGGCAATCCCATTTCTCCTTTAGCTCCTTTTAATCCCCGTAGTGCCGGTTCCCCAATCATACCCTTTTGCCCAGGTGCTCCTGGTTCACCTTTGTCTCCTTTGACTCCAGGAAGACCAATAGCATCTTCTCCAGGCATTCCAGGTGCACCTATTGGTCCAGGATCACCAACATCTCCAACTTCACCTTTCATTCCAACTGTTCCTGGCCAACCAGTATCTCCTTTATCACCTCTAGGGCCCAATAACCCTGGTCTTCCGTCGTCACCTGGCAATCCAACATCCCCTGGGGGACCTGGATCTCCAATAGGACCTCTTGGGCCAATATCTCCCGGCATCCCCACTTCACCTTTTTCACCTTTAATTCCAGGATAACCTCTTTGACCCTTAGCACCAGGTAGGGCCATATCACCTGGATCTCCCGCCTCACCCTGTTCACCTTTTGGACCTAATTTATGACCATAAAGAAGGAAACAGGGAAGTTTATGAGCCACAGATTGTGAGCATTCAAAAATGTACATCAAGAATATTGGAATCTGAGTTCATTCGCCACGAATCCCTTAAAACAGATATTTATATATAAACATTTAGTAAATATCTAACGTTAGTAAAAGGATATCACTATCGTCAGTTATCATTAACTGCACGAAATAAGAAATCAACTTCTGCAATGAGGAAAGAAGTTTGTTGCATTTAAACAAAGACAATCTAATTAAATACAACCTGGATTAAATAGAAGATGTCATATTTGAACGAGGACCAAATAGTCATAACGGGAAATAGATGGAGTAACTTGTGGTAAGGTGAATACAAATGAGTTCCTAGTCAGTAACTTTTATCGTAGTAATAATTCTTGATTTAGACAGAATCCTCACATAGTTCAAATTAGTAGTTATGAAATTTGAAGCGGAATATAGAAGTGTAAAACCTTGATGAAGCATTTAGGTAACAGATCTTACCCTTGTCCCAGCTGTTAAACTTTGTATGCTTTTATTTCCTCTTCAAATTCAGTCGTGCTCTTATGGTTTACAAAGCTAATTTAGTTAAGTAATCATCTATTAAGAAGAATAAATTGAAACTAAGCATATTTACATTATTATTGTAGACTACTCATGAGTAGTATTAAAAATAGGATAACTATTTTCTTGGATGATATTAACAAGTGTCTATTACCGTATTTCAAATACACCAACGTATGAACAGTGTTATTCATATTTATTGAAGAACAATTCTTTCCTAAGAACTTGGTGCAATAAGATCATACATTGATGGAATATATAATGGTGTTGATCTACAATGATTAATTTTCCTAACATATGAAAAGATTTGATTATTGGTGATTACATTTTATTTACATTCAATTAACTTATTGTGTTTAGGTAAAAAAATGTATAAGAAATCAGTGAATTTCTTTGTTACTTGCCAGTAAGTCCACGAAGTCCAGGATCACCTCGTTGACCTTTAGAACCAGGAATACCTCTTCCAGGTGGACCAGGATCACCAGTTTTGCCCACTTTACCCGGTAGCCCTAATAACATCAGAATTGAAGAAATAATAGTAACGGAAATATCAGATTTCATGTTAACTAGGATATAATAAATACAATCTGAAAACTATTCATATTTTCAACTTACGAGAACTGAAATTCCTCCCCTACTGCAGGACTTGACTGTGATTATTTTTACAATGATAAGACCTTAGAGACCTTATTACCATTAGTAAGAAGTTTTTCTACGTAGGAATAGGGTTTGTAATAGTATACGAATGAGTATTATTCCTCAAAAGAATACAACTGCCTCATAGTGAACTTGATAATGTATTCTATGTTCCCATACACAAATATTACGAGGAAGTCAATGTAGTTAAACCTTTAATCATAACAGTATTTTTAAAATACTTTCAATGAATTTCCCCCTTAAACCAATATTTATTGGGCCCCATTGAGTCAAATTAGAAATGAATTCAATAAAAATTCGCGATCGATTCCCACGCATGACTAAATGATTGTAAAATTACGAAACTTGATAGAATTTTATGCTTCGCTTTATAAACTTGAATTCTTTAGCTTGTATGATATGTTTATCTACATTGCAATTATTTAGTTTCTATATTCTTACTATCGAAGAATGATCATGTTCTTACAAGGGTTTCAACAGAATATTAAAAAGTATTATAAATTACTCTGAAATACTATATATTATTATGATTACCTGTTAAACCTTTTTCACCCGGTGGCCCTCTAGGACCTTGTGGGCCAGGATCTCCAATAGGACTTTCCTCAGCTGGTAAACACTGACCAGGAGCTCCAGGGAAACCCTTGGGTCCGGGTTGTCCTCTTGGTCCAGGATCACCTATAGGTCCAATATCACCGGATTCACCTTTATCTCCCTTTCTACCTGGGTATCCATCGAGTCCAGTGATACCTGGTTCACCCTTATCTCCAAATACTCCCATCTGACCTTTGTCACCCACTCTACCTGGCAAACCTCGTAAGCCTTTTGGTCCAGCATCACCTAAATTGTGGTGAGAAGAATGAATATAATAATGGTAATCATAAAATTATATTGTGGCAAAAATTTCAAGTAGAGATGGATGCACAAACGCCAAAACAGACTGATCATTTTCAGTCTCAAACATCAATGGGAAGATCGAAACAGCCAATATATGAATTAAAATTGTGTTGAGAAAAAAATTATAAGTACATGGTACATGGTCACAGATTTTATCTGACCTGGAAATCCTCTGTCCCCTTTAGGTCCTGGAAGTCCAGGAATACCTCGTTCTCCCATATCACCAGGTTCCCCATCACGGCCAACTATTATTTCTCCCGGTTCACCACGTTCCCCTTTGATACCTTTCTGACCCTTCCCCCCTGGAAAACCTTTAGGACCTGGCAAGCCAGGTTGGCCTTCCTGACCGGGTTGTCCCGGACGACCTTGCAAACCTGGCACGCCTGGATCTCCCACTATCCCCTGAAAGTAGAAGTTACAAAAGCAGTTAAGATAGAGCAAAGTAACTAATATCTTGAAAAAACAAGCGCAGACATTGGTCAGGTGAACAACTGGAGAAATAGGAATGATATCTACGTACCTTTGGCCCAATTAAACCTATTACTCCAGGGGAACCTTTAGGTCCAGGTAATCCAGGGTCTCCAGGCATCCCTGGTAGACCTTTCTCGCCGATATCTCCGACATCACCAACATCTCCAACTACTGCTTGACCATTGGTTCCTGCATCACCTGGAGGTCCACGTAAACCAGGTTTTCCAGTAGAACCTTTTTCTCCAACATCACCCTGGGGACCTCGTTCTCCCGTATCACCTTTTTCACCAAATGATTCTGCACCAGGAAGACCAGATTCACCTTTTGGACCCGGTTGACCTTCATCACCAGGACTACCTACATTCATAAAATGATGAAATATAATTTATTAGATTGCTTGTTAAATAGGCTTAGCTTTGTATGTGGACAAAAATCTGTAACATTAATCTCATTTTTGTAGGCATTTAGTCAGTAATCAAATGATTCTGATCACCAACCTCCTAAAGAATAGGTGGAGGTATCATATTTGAGGTCAAAAAAATGTCCAGGAAACGAGTTTAGTTAAAATGATGGTGATAGATCTCGATATTTCTGAAATAATACACAAATTTACGTATAAGATTTTTACGCTCAACTAAAAGACTCCGTACGAATCGGACACTGGAAAATATCGATACCTATAATGTTTTTTTTCCACTCGTAAATATAGATGATACAAATGAAGTATTATGAACTGAAAAACTCATGAAGACAAGTGGTTACTTTAAATAGTTAGAACTAAGTGATTAATAATTAAGTGATCTGTCTGATACAACTATCTTAGCTTAAATCTAAGGCGAAATGATAGATCTAACTGTTCGCTGTTTCACAGGAATCTGTATCTAGGTATAGGTGACAAATGAATATTTGATGACGATATTGACCATGTGCGTCTTTAAGGAAAGTAACCTAGGTTACTATAAAAAATCGTATTTGTCTATTCGTGTTAACAGGATATACTTTAAAAAACTCTCAGCACCACACTGTTGATAAATAAGATAAAAGTTTCTACACTTAAGCTTTTAATTCGTTCCGTTACTTGATTATTAGAATATTTCCATTAAATAATCCATCCTGTTTTTAGATTAACAAGCTCAAACTCTCAATCACTTTTTCCAAGTAAAGTTGGTTAAGAAGGCGTACAAAGTGTTATGTTTTTGCGAAGTAATTAATCTTTATACTCTCTTGCTAGACGTTGCTTTCTGACATTCTTGCTGTTCAGAGTCCTGAGAAAGCCAGTCGTACTTCTTATTCATTTGCGTTATTCAATAGTATTCATTTTACCATATAAATCCATTCCGTTGCATCATATTTGCAAAGTTTAAAAATTATAAGTTACTTATAAAAATTATCAATCTCCTTATCAAATACAAAGATAACGCCTCAGTGTACTACCTGGTGGTCCTTCGAATCCTTTTGGTCCAGGTGTTCCTTCAAAGCCTTTAGGACCAGTAGTTCCAGGACGGCCAGGAGGACCTGGATCGCCCGAAGGACCATCTGGTCCAGGTAAGCCTGGTTCACCCCTCAAACCTTTTTCACCTGCAAAGAAGGAAATGTAAAAGTAAGATTCAATAATTTTAAGTGATTTGAGGAGGAATAATCATTAACTGTGTTTAACTTCAAATTTAAACTATGGATTAACATACTTTTCAAATTTCAATAAATAATTTTTAAAGAAAAAAGTACTTTAACATGTACATCCAACCGCCTACAGTTTTAGGGTGATATGCGATAAACTGAGTATAGTTTAAAAATAAATGCACTAGTTCATAAATAATGACGGTTAACTTACCTGTCCGTCCTATTGGACCTGATGGTCCTCTCTCTCCTTTCGCACCTCTTAGTCCAGGTTCGCCTTTTTGACCTTCTGGACCTTCTGGACCAGGAAGTCCAGGTTCTCCTTTGTCCGCTGCTCCGAGACATCTGCCTTTATCTCCAGGTATACCAGGACGTCCAGGCAAACCTAAAATATAATATAGGAGGTATAATTAATTCTGTAGTAAGATAATATTACTAACAAGTTATATTTTACCAGAAATTCCCTTGATATGCTGCTGTACTTAGACTTAAGTTACTCCTTACTAGTATCAAAATTTTTAAAAGTGGTAAGTTAGTCAAAGTAAAATATGTGTCAACTCATGCACTGCCTCAAAGTTGTTCAATTTTCACTTTCGAAAGTAACAATCAAAAACAGGCGTTAGATTACAGTGAACCATACTTCATAATTCAGGTTCAAATCAATTCCAGTAGCTGAACCAGTATCAAAAGACAGATCTATTACTTATAAATGAAATGTTTCTTAAACATAACTTACATATTTCATATTCCTTTATTAAACATCAGTATTTAAAGTTTCTTGATTCCACTTTTTAGAATTTTACCTTTGACCTCACTAACAAACGTAATACTTATTAAAATGGATACCGTTTAAATAAAAACGGCACACATAACTATTTAATCACGTTTATCCGTTGATTAAACACACCTGGTTCTCCACTATCTCCTGGATCACCCATAATTCCCTTAATACCAGCTCCACCACTTGGACCAGGATCACCTTGAAGTCCCGGCAGACCAATATCTCCACGTTCTCCTGCTAATCCAGGTCTTCCATCTAATCCTATTGATCATAATAATGATATTAACAATAATAAATAAATAAATAAGCAAATGTATTTTATGTTAACTCAATAAAAACAACTCAAAATTAATGACTTATTTTAAAAGTGCATGCAATTACTTGAATAACGGCGTTAAAACATAATATTTCTCTTAAAACATGGGCTATTTCACAAAAGTGCAATAAAATGATTGGATAATAATACTCTTAACTACAACGTAATTTTTACCTGGATCTCCTGAATCACCAATCACACCAGGGTCTCCTTGTGAACCTCTAGGACCTGGCATACCTGGCCGCCCGGGTTCACCACGTTCTCCAGGGATTCCAGTTCCAGGTTGACCAGGCAATCCTTTTTCTCCTTTTGGACCTGTGGAAGTTATCAAAATTATTGTTTGTATAGAAACTTTGTCCTGTAGCATTCAAAAATAGATCAATTATTCAACATATGAGCAATGTATAAAATATATTTTTCACCTTTCACTGATAAATTGATTCATATAGAAGTGTTGGTGATGATATCCAAACCATTATTCATCTTCTTCTCAACATTTAATCATATAAAGAATTTAATCTGAATATCTCCAACTTTAAATAAAACATCACACCCATTCACTCTTAAAGTTTCCAGAACTTTTTTGATTAAAATGATATACCTTTCAAAATCAGTTATTTTACGGTTCCTTAAGTCTCACCTGGGTAACCACGATCTCCTACAGGACCAATATCACCTACATCTCCTTTCACCCCAGTAACACCAGCGAACCCTGGTTCTCCTGGGCTACCCTGTTCACCAGGATCACCTAAAAGATGAAACTAGAGTCGTGAGTTCAAGTTAAATTATTTAAAAAATTAACATTTTATAAAGAAACAGTAACTCTTTTACCAATTAGGAGGTCAGTAAAAGGTAAACTAATATGTATAGTGAAACAATACTATATGATTAATACAACTTTAGTAATTTTAGTAGTTAGTATGTAGAAAATGGTTCAACAATATTTGACTTTGATTACGCATCGCAAAATAAAGCCACTACAATAACCAGTTAGTAGTGATTTTTTTCAAAGTAGAATTCATATTATTGATTATCACATACACCTTTGTTTTTATTATCATATGTGTGAGAAGCTACAGATCATTAATTTAGACAATAAATGTATCTTCATTAATGTTTAAGAAGTTGGGCAGATGTACTATCCGCTACACAATAGTTGTGGTTGGGATAATAGTACAGAAGGATGATAAGATTTATTTTTGTTTATTGAAATATTTCTTCTTCTATATGAGATAACATACTATTGACGTAGCTGTTCGAGATTAAATTTATCTTACCTGCTTCACCGACAATTCCTTTTATTCCAGCTGGTCCAGGTATTCCTGGGAGTCCTTTTATACCTCTAATCCCACTATCTCCAGGTTGACCAGGTGGACCTTCATCACCTGGTTTTCCTTTATCTCCTCTTGGTCCAGGTTCACCTTTGGGTCCACGATCACCTTTTTCAACTAACCAAGAAAGAAGTAGATATTAAAAAACAAATGAATGGGTTTGATGGACTTAGAAAAGAAAGTAGTACATAAAAAAAGTTTTGTTTAAAAAAACAATTAACTCTGTCGTTTTGGCTAATAGCTTGATCAACTAAAATAAAAATGATATATGAAAATGTATTCACATCTTAAGAGAGATTATAGATGTATAATTGTATAATACTGAAAAATATGTAAACAAATAAATAAATATATTTGTAATATGCCAATGAGTAGAAAAATTATATTTTCTGACGCTTCGTGACTCAGTGTAAGCTACTTCTTCAGGGAATTTATTCTCTTACACTTCGCTTACACTGAGTCACGAAACGTCGGAAAATCTAATTTTTCTACTCATTGGGATATTACAAATATATTATTTTTATTTATAACAATCTGCTCAATGATCAATTTATTCAAAATTATCAAATCAAACTTTGGTAATGATACCTACAAACTCACTGAAAATATGTGCTCATACAGTAAATTATTGAGTTGTTAAATTGTTAAATACTACTTATTTCAGTTTATTTAAATATGATTGCTAACTTAACTGTAAATAAATCATGTAAAAATAGGTGTCTTTTTAAAATCATTTTTATTTATTTTACAAGTCAAATAAATCCTTATCATCAGTCTTTAGCTTTGCGCATGATGTTTTGTTCTCTTGTGTTCAAATTGATGTGTAAATTCAGCCTAGGGTTGTTGAAAGCAGCTAGGGAGTCGAATCGAGCGTTCATTTAGCAAGAATTATCAGTCTATATATTGTTAGATAGTTTATATATTCGTCAACATCTAGTCCGATATGAAAATGAATGTTTTGCAGCTCGGATCGTACAATTAAGTTAAGTCATTGAACACTAACTTGCTCGAAAAATACTACATCTCTCACATTGTATGCGTATACAGGCCATCTTGATCTACTGTATTCAAATTTGAAAATAACCAGTGAAGGGGGTAATTGTATCGTACTAGTTTAGAAATTAGACTTTCGTATATTCAATTATTAGATACGAAACTAAGCTAGTGCTATTGATTTCACGAAACTTCAGATTATCAGTAAAAGCATTTCATATTTTATTCAAAATAATTGGAAACTAGTTACCCATTTAAGCTTATTTGTCACTTAAAATATTGATCAAATGACTAACTCATATAAGTTAAGAATTTCCTGATAAAATTCATGAAGTTTTGGTACGTTTCCTTCTCTAACTTCCCACTAAAAAGAGAAAAATGTTTAATTTTTATTCAGTTGTTAGAAAATAGATTTTATGTTCCATAAAGTATTTAGAATCTTTATTTACCAAAAGAACTGTTAATGAACATACCAGTTAGATTACGACTTTGGATAACATTCACAGTACAATTTCCAGGTTCTCCAGAATCGCCTAATTCACCTTTCAATCCAGGACGTCCAGGTTGACCTTTTTCACCTTTATCACCGAATCTAACATCAGCTGTCGCACCTTTGTAACCTTTTTCGCCTAGTATACCTTTAGGACCTTTCTGTCCAGGTAAACCTCGTAAACCAGGGTCACCCTGAAGGGGAAAAAACAGTTCACATTTATATAATATTAACAAACAAATTAATTATCACCTTTTAATGCCTGACAACATTATAAATATGAGCTACATCTATTCTATATAAATCAACAGAAAATAGATTTAATGAAATATGCACTAAAAATCCTACAGGTAGTCAATAATGCATATAACGGAGTAATTTTTACAAGTACCAACCTGTGGTCCTTCTAATCCACGTTCTCCTTTTTCCCCTGGAGAGCCTATAATACCCTTGATCCCTTTGTCGCCTTTGACTCCATCCACACCTGGATAGCCTTTAGGGCCTTTTAGAATTCCAGTGTATTCTGTTCTTGTTTCACCTGGTTCACCTTTGAAACCTTTTGGTCCAGGCAGACCATGTTCACCCTGGTCACCCTAAAGAAAGATTAAGAAATCAAATAATACATGATGAAATTTATGTACAGCTAACTATAAAATAAAGTAATAGTAATGTCAGGTAGTCGTATAAACGATTATTAACATATTTAATATGTGTAATAACTAATTATATTGATTATCTAAGGTAAATATCACACAATATTTGCATTCGCACATAGGGACAAAAACAAAATAACTTCTAGAGTATTGGTCCTAGTTAGTTCCTTCAAGCATTTCATTAGAGTACGATTTACGATAACTATATAATCTAGAGAAGTAATAAACTTTAATGAATTATTGGTGAAACAACTTCTGGAAAGGCAATTTATTGACCGAAGTACTCAACTTTCGACCAGTAGGTCGCACGTCTGAACTCGGTCCTCCTTATGTCGACTACAATAACCAAATTGTTATAATGTGAATATTTTGATAATAAACTAGATACAATTATTCATGATAAAATCGAGTGGTTATTTATTTGTACTTCTTGGGGTTTTGTAGGCTGAAGTCAGTAAATGATCTCGTCCTTCTGTGTTCTTTATATCGAACGAAAAGATGTATTAACACAAAGCGGTAAAATTAACATCTGAGTAAACTTACTTCATAACCCTGTGAACCCGTACGACCTTGATTCCCAGGAGCACCGCGACTTCCTCGTTCTCCTTTGGCACCATCTCGACCTCGTGGACCTGGAAGACCAGATGGACCGATATCACCTTTTTCACCCTTTGCCCCAGGTATACCAGGTATACAAGCACTGCATCGTTCTCCAGGTTCACCTAAATATTCAGGATTAGCAGTAATGTACCAAGTATACAGTGAGTTTTAATATTATTGGGTACTAATCAGTTATATGTTCAAAAACTTGAAATTATACTTCTTTCCGGCTAAACCACTTGTATGTTGATAGCTACTTTCTAAGCTAAAATGCTAATAGTAGGTTAGTTTATTGGTTCATCACTGAAACGATCATTTATTTTTTGGTCAACGTGTTACTACTTATTAAGTATAGCCAATCAGTTACTTCAGTTTCACGAGCTACTATCAGCTAATAGGGAACAGTGTTCATAAACCATTTGCTGTGAAAGTTTATCAATATTCCAACCGGTTTTACATTATGAGCTTTAATCCCTACGTATTGATATGATTTCTTCATCATTACTTAATACAATAGTTATTTACGTTACCATGTTAAAGTTAAGAAGCACTCCTCAGTAATTTAATATAATTAACTGACCTTGAGGCCCCATTGGACCTTGTTTTCCATGTTTGCCAGCTAAACCATCCAATCCACGTTCACCTTTTTCACCTGGTGGACCAGGACGACCAGATCCTTTAGTACCTGGCAATCCACGTTCACCCTTTAAACCCTTGGGACCTTTCGGACCTTTAAGAAAAAATCGACAACGATTTATTACATGACAAAGTATATAGGTAAATTTGAAGAGTAGGTATACAAATATGTGTTGTTTGATCATATGTTTATCCTAACATCAGATGGGTGCCCGAATAAACTTATCTCTGCTAGAATAAAAATATTACCATTGCTATATAGTTTCTTGTTTGTTTGAAATTGTCCATGTTTTTATAATTTTTGCCAAAATAATAACGCCAGAGCTTTGATAAAGATCAGATAAATAGTAATTCAAATTGGAGGTAAAATATGAAAGGAACTAAGAATGCTAGACTAGTTTGTAGTATGATATATATTACTGTCTAGATGCCATGATTCAACTGGAATTCATCAACACACTATAAAAATGGATACTTACAGAAACATGTTTAATAAAATTAATTGTATATTTGAAGCAATGCAAGAAAATACAATAGGATGAATTCCTTATACACATATATCTATTCCACTCCATGAATGGAATTACAGAGATATTAAACATATATTCACTGTTATTATCAGATATCTTTATTATATACCCACTCTTACTGATATTTTACCCGTACACTATCCATAGTTAATTTCATTAATTTCAATAAAATATATTCAAATCAATAAGCTACAAAACAATCAAAGACATATGTAAAAACAGACTTATCACAATAATTTTAGCTATTGTTCCTTGTTCTGTGTTTTTGTTTTCTTCTATCTAGTTGTAGATGAATTACCTTCACTATACTATTCTTTCTCAGACATGACGTCATAGTCCTCCTACTAAGAAAGTATCCTTTTAAAACAATTAGTGAACGTCTTTTCCGATAAATTACCCTAATATCTCTGTCCCTTTATGTAGCAAAATGATCATGCTTTCAAATCAGAGTATCTTCTGTAATTCTTTCAGAATATAATTAATTTAATTTAATAATCATGATAATGGTGAGTTTAAAACTATTGTATTCGATTCATTTATTATCATAAAACTATTCGTATTTATAATATCGAATATTTTGAGTAAAATCTATAACCGTACATTAGAATGACTATCAGTTGTTGACATCAGTTGAATGATTTAAGTCAGATAAATCGTTAAATCTTGACGAAACTTTTCAATGTAGTAAGCAGATGTATTAAAAATTAATGTTGTAATTGATATAGGATCTCTTGACTAGTCCAAAGTAAACAAAAATTTCATAATTATCTCAAACATATATGGTCTAAAAACATAGATTTGAAAGTATGTTAGAAAGTTCGCTACTTATCATTTAAGCTTCTGATTTAAAACTTCAGTTACTATGGAAATGCAACTCACCTTGAGGCCCATCATAGCCTCTATCTCCAGGATCACCCGATGCACCTCTGTGGCCAATACCCGGTTCTCCTTTATCACCTGGTAGTCCATCATCACCTGGACTCCCAGGTAATCCAGGTAAGCCAGTTCGTCCGTCATCACCTGAAAGAAATCATCATGTGGTGAACGATAAATTTACTTTTATTCATAAATGTTGAGAAATAAATTAAAATATAGTATGAGTTAGATAGTTGGTATCTTGTGATACTTGTAAAAGATTGTTGGTTATAAGAATAATTCTTATTATTCAGATTTCAGGTATAATAATAACCATCCGTCTGATTGGGACTTACTGACAATATTAGGTGTATGAGGATCATTTCAAACTAAATATTTTATTTACCAGGTGATCCTTTTGGACCCGGTGGACCAGGTGGTCCAATGGGACAGTCAAATCCAGGGTCGCCAACCGGTCCCTGTGGACCAACCAAGCCTTTCAGTCCCCTGTCTCCTATGGATCCAGGAATTCCAGGAAATCCTTTCTCTCCAGGTTCTCCAGGTATACCACGTTGTCCAGGTCTTCCAGGTAAAATACCTGTGCATTCTGTGGTACCCTGAAACGCATTAAAATGAGTTGAAAAGTGTTTTTTATCGGACAGAATAGTATTCATAACTGTAGAAACATGTTTTTAGTTTCCAATTGTTTACTATGAGGAAAATATAGTTAGTCTGAAACAATTTTGAGGTTTTATAAAGGCACATTCACAGAGTTATCACAGAAGCTATTGATGCGTTCGCATCATATGTGTGTCATCATAATTATTAACACGGCTATCTCATAAATGGATAGTCTTGTGACTGAAGTATTTTCGTTTCGACTTCTCGTTTAGTGCCATTTCTAAAATGCTTGCAGAGTAAATAATTGTAGCCGCTAACTGGAATCATCAGGAAGGACGTTGAAAACTAGGTGAAAGTGAACAGCGATTACATACTAGTTTAAAGCTTTTTAACAGTATACATCAGTCACCTGAATATAAATCAAGCTAAGAAGCATGCTATAGCCATGATTCAGATAGAAAGCTGCTGTAGAACTTCTTGATTTGCATTTTTAACTACAGCTAGTCCACGACCTGGTATGTCTGTAATCCATTACTGTCAGCGATAACTGTCTTTCACAGCACAGTCAAACTCCATTACTCAGATACTCAATAGTCCCTGATTTTCAGTGGTTCTCCAGTCGATGACAATCCGTGATCTGAACTATTTCCAAATCTAACTTCCACAAGCCTCGCAACTTAACATATGACTTTGTGTTAAAATTTCCAATAACATGACGAACATTTTGTAAATTAGTTATTTTAATCTGCCATTCGTTTTTCTAGGATAAAGCCCCTCAATAATGAATTCGCGTTTTTTTAACACGGGACATTTTGTGATGAATACTCTTATCAATAAAACCTTCCATATTTAATGAAGGCATGAACCTAATGACCTCAGTACAAATGATAATAAACTAATGTAATTACAGAGATCAAGGTTTCCACCAAACAGATTGTTTTACTTACCCCAGGTTCACCAGGATCTCCAACAAATCCACGTAGTCCATCTGCCCCTGGATCTCCAGGTAAACCTTTAGGACCTGGAGGACCACGATCACCAATCAGACCATCACGTCCTTGACCACCCTAAATCAAATTATTCGAAGGATTCGTTAGTTGTAATTCAAATAACCAGCTCATGTATAACAGTTTTTACATTTTGTCGTTAAAATTGCGGCATTCGTAGCTTTTTCTTTTATTCAGTATGATGAAAAATGTTAATCTTGATGTTAGTTTAGATTAATCAAATAGGTTCACTTCCAATTATATTTGAACTTTCCAGTTTCTTTATTATGATGTAGTAATAGATAAATATTATCAATACTTAAGTACCTAGTAACGATAAATCTTGTTTAAAATCACTTGGTTCTGACGATAAATCTATTATTAAGCGGAGTAGTGTTAGCCTATATAACAAGATCTGTGCTAACAAGAAATCATTTTAAATTTTTGACTGTGAACAAAATTTAACCAAAACTTGTGGACTATCCCAATAACAGAATGACGTCTTTTGTTATGATGTTTTTCAAGTAAAACAATGTGCTTTTATTCTGTACACAGTTTATTACCACCTTTATAATTTGACAGGTCAACTTACTTTAACACCAGGTTGTCCTGCACTTCCTTTAATGCCTTTAGGACCCTGGAAAAGAATGGTGAAAGGAATAGCAAAGTAAATCATACTACTTGTAAACAGTAAGTAGTGTAAAATGTACCAAACCTATTTTCAGATATTTATTTACCATCAGTGCTTTAATTGATATACATTTTTCAGTAATTTTCTTATTGAATAATTCATCCTTTGGTATCACCCGATTTGTCGTCACTTATATCATGACTCAGTACATATATTTTTATTTTCAACTCAGAATTTAGCTACTGTAAAAAAAACGCTGATAGTAAAACAAATGTATGTATTACTAACAATCACAAAATCTTCAGATAAACGTTTAATTTAAAAATATAGAATTTCGTATTTATTTTATCATTCTTTTAACTTACCAGAGGCCCATCGGGACCTGGAAGTCCTTTCACTCCCGGCAAACCAATAGTTCCATCTATGCCCTATATAAAAATTGATAAAATATTCAATAACCAGTTTTAGACAATGAAGTTAATTATTATTATTCCAATGAGACTATCGTGTAATATGTTGGAACAATGATGATCTTTTATGGTTTGAGGAATTCTTTTGGAAAATCATACTTATTTTATCGTATTCAGACCCGCAAGTAGTATTTTCACAACTGCTTACGTTTAATACTTGGATAAAGAATGTACTAATAGTTTTTTCATTACATAATTGAAAAGAATCTCAAAAGATTTGTGAAAACAAGTTGCAACGTATTTCCCCACAAACAAATAACTTTATCTTTGTTACAACAAGCCGAATTATCAGTTACTTTATGCCATACATTTTATTCTTGATTAATAAGTTGGTATGTGACAGATAACTAATTCAGTCACACCACTCCCGTTTGTCTATAAGATAAATAAACTTCAATTTAGAAATTCAAGTACCAGAATAGTTGACCAGTGGTGTTATCTTTAAAATTCTATTTTGTTAAAATTAGAGGAATAATTTCATGGGCATATAATAAGTTTGGATAACTCAGTCATCTCAGTATTTTACCAAATCAACTAAGTTTTAATGATTCAATTTCAAAATGGAACACAAGTTCATTAACACTAAAAGGCAAACGTTAGGTGGTTGAAGATCTTTTTGACTCTGATCTGCTGTAAGACAGAAGGTCAGTCAAAGATGGAATTTCCCAGTGGCAATGTCTCGGATTGTGAAGCTTGGTGACATAGAGTCGAATCTGACAGGAAGCACCAGGCCATCCAGGGCTGCATAAATGCCCTGATGATTAGTGTCAAATAGCATGAAACCAGGTCTAGAATTTCCTATCGACTACATTCGGACATCCGTAATTTCAACCTAGAGCAGGTGATATAAAATCAGGTAGACTAGCAACCTGAGTGCTACTTGATCTATAGAAAACGATCAGTAGTAAAAGGGCTAAAAAAACATGATAATGACCCCTACTTAATGATCAAACAGTTGTAACTAAAGGATAAATCTTGTTTATCGCAATATGAAATAGGCTTCTCATAGTAACATAAGTACAAACAATACAGTTGTAAATGACTCTATACACTTACTCTTATTCCTTTCGCTCCTTTGGAACCTGGATAGCCTTTAGGACCAGTATCACCCTATTAAAAACAAAAATAAAGATTTTAAAAAAAGTTTGTAAATTTTCCATTTTTAATGCTTTTCAACATTTCATTATATTTTTCAGTATGGGGTTGTGTAGAATGTTGAATTTCATTGAAACTGTTATAATTCTCTCTTACGGTTATAACCCAGCTTAGTATTCTCAGACACCGATTCACTCGACAAATCCTCAAAGCAGAACACGGTTGAACAGGAAAAGAGATTATATTTATAGTTTTTCACATGAGATTTCTAGTGTTTTTCAGTAGTAGCACAAATGCACAAATTTCTAGTGTTCACTAAGTATTGGCTAACGCTGATTGGTTAATTCTTATCCAATCAGCGTGCAGCAAAGCAATCGTGTATTGAGCATGCTTTAATCCAGTCTATGTCCCGCTAACAGAAACCATAAGCATTAACATTACCACAGGTCGATGCTGGTTCAGTGGTTCAGAGATCAAGTGTCCGAGTCCCGCGTATGAGCGCGGATGCTCACTGATGAGGAGTTCCACACTAGGACGAAATGGCAATCTAAGGCTTCCAGATTTAAAATTGATCGGTTTGTGGTTTCAATAAGCTTTCATAATATGTGTAATATAGATAAGTGAAACAATAGTGGATTTCTAGGAATTAAAAAAATTATTGATTTCATTATAAATTAATGGTTGAGAATGAGATCATAATCTGTTGATACCAATTGATGACGGTCAGGACTGGCCTACAAAGTTATGGGGATAAGATTTAGCTTATCCCATTTCTAATTATTTCAATTCCAAATGGTTTTCTGTATACATTATACTAATCCAATAGATAGGTTGAGATTGATGGAAAGTATAGCTTTGTGCAAATCTGTGACAAACTACCTACATTCTGTAAAATAAATAAATACTTATCAAAAATAACACATACTCGGTCGCCAGCAGGTCCAATTAGAGCTTTACGGCCTTGTTCCAACGTGGTAACTGAACAATTTCTGCCTGGATCTCCAGGATCCCCAGGTGCACCTGGGGCACCTTTTACAGGTGTATAAGTGTCAATGATACTTTCTCCGGGTTCACCAGCTTCGCCAGGTACACCGAAGTCACCATCTTCACCCTGTTATCGAAAATAAAGATTTTCAAAAATATACTTTATTGAGGAAGATTCCCAGATTATAAATCATAGAAATCGAAAGATAATACATTCTGAAAGTTTTTATCCAAAAATTTAGACTATTCTACAAAAATTAAAATTTCTTTCAAATCAGTCCAGTTAAATCAAAAATAAAACACGAATAAAAACCTGTTTATTAATTAAGCAGAACAGTAGAAATCGGATTTCAGTCATTACTACTCTGTTTAAGCAATATTAGTATCGTGCACACAAAAAGTGACATTTTAAAATTACTCAACTCATTGTGCTTTAATTAGGTGGATGGCACTAACATTTATGTAACATATATACCTAATTCAATCAATATATAACTTTTTATTTACATATCATTACAGATTCATAGTTTCTGATGGAGTTTTGTTCTCTGAGCTGGATGGTTTGGTCATAGATCCTTCATCGTTCTTCTGAACGACATCATCATCACAAATCATCCAGCTCAGAGAACAAAACTCCATCGAAATCGTCCACCTAAACTACAAACCTTTTCTACCATTTCAGATTCATAGTTATTATGGCTGTCTATTTAGTTCATTTAAATTAATAGTTCACGTATTTAATGGCATTTTTAAGATTCCACCACAAATCAATATTCGTCCTGTATATCTGTTACTTGAATAAAAAAAGAACAGAAAAAGTTTTTTGAAAAAAAATGCTTAAGCTTAAGCAAACATGAAAAGTTTATAATTAAGTCATTTTAAGTTAAGTTAGTTAGACCGAAGTTTAATTCATCGATGTACAGTGACTATGCAAGAACAAACTTCATGAACGAAAACAGTTATAGATTGAATTACAGTAGTAACTAACTGAAGTAACTATTCAAGAAATAGAACTTTGTATTTAAAGAAAATCATGATTTATCAGTTATTTACAGAAAAAGTAAAATAGTACAATTGACTGTGAAAAGTAATCCTTTTAAATATTGAAGCTCCATCAACCAAAACATTATAGTTCAAAAGTTAAATTTATATAAAATATACATTTAGCTAATTAATCAAGATCAGTCATAGTTGTGAAACGATATTAGGATCTAATAGTAAACTATGAAAACTGTTTCTACCTCTACAAATTCTGTCATCACGTTCTACATTATTGAATAAACTAATGAAATAATATAGTGATCATTTCTGATACAAAAGCATCTATTTGCGAATATATACTACTGAAAAGTCTCAAAAACAAGATGAAATAGTTACTCAGGACTTTCAAATATGACTAAATCACTTTTAAATAAAGAATAGAGCAAAAAATTAATGCAAGATAAACTGTAGAATATTCTTACTCTGTCTCCTTCTAATCCGGGCAATCCAGGGTCACCACGTTCACCTTGAATTCCATCATCACCCTAAAAGAATAGTAAAAATAACTAGATAAAAAATGGATGATTGTATCTAAGGTTCGACCAGTAATTTAATCATTTCATCAGTAATCTAAATGGATATTTATTCTTTTTTCCAATGTACCGTAAAACTTCAAAAATGTACTGTTGAATGTGTTCGATAAAGAATCTACCTAAAAGTCATTTATTTATTTATTTAAATATGGTAACAACTTTATAACTTCCGAGTTTATTGCTTCTCGAGAAAAAAATGTATTTGTCTGCCTAGCTATGAGAAACGACATGATTAATGTAACAAACTCTAAAACTGTAACCATCTTGTTTATGTGAGAAACACCAATGTAGAGTCAAATGCTTTGTACTAACTTCAACTAGCTAACTAATGCTCCACTTTCAAGTCTTTTGTATATCTGCTTACTTTCAAAATCACGGCAGTTTCTTGTCAAATTCATATTTATTGTATGCATAATACAAACTGTTATCCATGTTTTCTTTACACATTACTAATGATATGTCACAATATTTCATTAAAAACACTTTCTTTAAACATTTGGATGTTTCTTATTTTCTAAATGCTCATAGATAAGTTACATGAAAATCAGTGTGATTTATAAAATTGTTGAGTTTTTTGAATACTTAACTCACTTTTGGACCAACATTACCAGGTTCTCCTTTCGGACCCTAAGGATTAGATAAAAAAACAAATGGAAGCAAGAATCAACTGCATGATGTACACGTAAATAAAGACAATTATATTTAAAAGCGGAATATAAAATTATTATAGTACAGCCCACATATGTATACAAATATATTGGAAATAATGTGTACATTAGCGACCATTCAACTAATCAAATTACTATTCAGTTTGAAAAGTAAATGAATATCGGCTATTCAGTCAGTTATGGGCTATAGGGGACTTGGGATATATATATATTGAGATGGTGGAGAAGATTTGTAGCTCAGGTGGATGATTTTGGTGGAGTTTGGTTTGGTCGACCAAACCATCCAGCTCAGAGAACAAAACTCCACCAAGATATATATATATATATATATTTGCCGAAAACAATATAACGGATAAAATTTTACACATCGTTTCTGAAATTCTCGATTACATGTGTGATTAAAAACAGAACTAACTGGTAGTCCTCGTCTCCCAAATCCAGATTCACCAGGATCACCACGTTCACCATCGATACCAGGCAGTCCTCGGTCACCATCCATACCCTGTCTTCCAGGTTCACCTTTTTCACCTGGATCACCCTAATAAAAAAACACCAATAAAACAAGTTTGAGTGAAGCAGTGGTATAAATATATAGCTGGAGATTTAGTGAATGAACTCTCATATAATAACGGATTTTGAATCGATAATTAGGTTGTCGTGATGCAAAATAAACATAATAAATAAATGTATAAAAACTCGTAAAAATTACAATGAAGAGAAAAGTGAATAACTTTATGTACTACTAGTTCACCATATGAGTGAATCACGTGTGGAGGGAGACAACACTTACTTTTCCTCCAGGGCAACCAGCAATACCTTTGGCACCTTTTTCACCTGTTTCTCCACTCTCACCCTATAAGTAAACAATAAAAATCATTTGAATTTTGTAAATACAAAAATAAATATTTTTCAATACCTAAAACAACTTTTAAAGTGTTAGTCAAAAGAGATATATTCTTGATAGGTTTTTCTTACTTACATGTTCACCATGCATTCCTGGTGAGCCAAAATCCCCTGATGGACCCTGCGAACAAAGAATAAGAAAATAATGGTTTCTATAACATATATAATAATATAAGGTTGAAACAAAAAGATACTGGAATTTCAGTTCAAAAATTTATAAATGAATTAGTTTCATGTAGTTTGTAGTGGTTAGTTGAAGTACACACCGAGTACCAAGAGAAACTACAATAAATTTACATTCAATGTTTTATTTTAAATATCTTTTTTGTTATTGTAGTTTCTAACTCACTCAACCACATAAATAAGAGAGGAAACGCTAAAATACCATAGTTTATAGACCACAACACGTATAAAACTGGGAGATTCTTGTTACAGAGCTGAATGAATTGATTTATATTAAACAATGATAGATATATGAACAATTATTCGGTGAAAAGAAGCCTATACAATCAAGATCATATGTAAACAGCATAAACCAACTAGGCAACAATTACTTCCTTAAAATACATCAAGTAATTTAGGAAAACAGCAACTATGCGATTTCCATAGTTTTCTTAATAGATTGAAGGTAATGATAACTTGTATGCTAACCATAAAATTTGTCTAACTTTATCATTAATTTATATTGTCAGTATGTGAATGTATTAATTATTAGTCAAACGAAAATAAAAATTTTCCAATGGTTAGCACGACATAACTACATTATCATTCATCTACTTTAGAATGTTGAGCAAGACTATAATTTATGGACGAACCAATCAGGTCTAAGATAATAGGTCTCGGATTTTTGGCGCAAAATTCACTCATCCATTTGGCTAAATAGCGTCTTGGCATTATAGTTGATGTCAGTTCGTGATGAGATCCCCAAGTCTAATTACTAACTATCAACTGCAAATCATAATTCTAATTCCTTACACAGGTTTATAACCCACATTTGGTCCAAGATATTAAGTGGATAATCTCAAGGTCAGACTAGCTCAAAGGTCGTCCATAAATTATAGTCTCACCGAATGTTGATATTAATATTGAATTATACTATACAATGTATTACTATGTTAAATATTAATTAAAAATATACTCAAAAATTAAATAAACTTGAAGTTAAAAACAGTGGAAATATAGTGATCCAGATGAATTGGATGAGCTTTTTACTTTCATTGATTCATCATTCATAGTGAATATTAGTGTACAGCTTAAATGCACAAAACAATAATGGTGTCAATTATACAGATATTTATACTTTATACGAATACTCGTTAAAATCTGAATGAACATTTTCCATTGAAGAAGTTCGAACCGGAATCCTAGATGAAACGACGGACTATTTAAACATAATTTATGCATTTAAGTCATTTATACTGTTTGGGTATCTCAATCGCCATCATCTATTTGATTATTTCATACTGAAACATGTGCGTCACCGGTATAAATAAATGAATTATAACCCTTCTTTATACTTACTCTTTCTCCAACAGGACCATCAACTCCATCTTGTCCAGGATCACCTTTCATACCTCTTAGTCCCGGTGGTCCTTGTTCACCTGGATAACCTTTAGGACCGATAGGTCCAGGTGGACCTCGAGGACCTGGGTCACCCTAAATACAAGATTTTAAAAAGTTCGAAAGAAAAATAAGTTTCTCGATAACAATTAATATAAATGAAATCAAAATTCATTTGATAAATTTGCTTACCTGTGGTCCTTGTGGTCCAAAACATCTGCAAAAATTGTAATCACATCTTACGGAACAATCGATATCTCGACGAAATTGCTGAAAATACATAAATGATAATAAAACTTTATCCATTTAATAAACTACGTACCGATTGTGCAAAAGGAATTCCACTGAAAGTAATGAACGTGACCAGAAATATAAATGTCCTATAATGAAAGAAAACGAAACGATCGGAATGAATAGAAATTAAATTAAGCAGTGAATTTTGATGTTGGTTTAACTTTTTTCTACATATAAACTTACAAAAGTTTTGCTCTGATATAATGAAGATCAATATTGTTTGCCTGTTTCTGTCGTGACAGCAACAGCATATGCATTGGTCTGGATTCTGTTATCAATAGTAATATTCTACACGTATATAGAAAACAAGACAATAAAAATTATCAATTCTTATCATAGACAGAAAATTTTACTACTTAATTAAATCATGAAATAATGAAAAAGACCTTATCGTTCAGCAGATCTTTTTGGTAATGTTGGATTATTTGAGATGTCGACTTAGATTTGATATATTAACCTATAAGAGCAAGGTTACCTACTCACATGATCACAAGTTAACCTAATAAGACAAACCACATATATGTAGATCCATGTGAAGAAAATAAACCCTGAGAAGTCAATTAATAATAGCTATGTGGTAAGAATGCATTTATTCGGCACTTGTGGAGTAGTTTTAAAAAAGCTCGCTTATATTTCAACCAGATTCCGACACAATAGCTCATAATGACACTAGAAGCTCATTAATAAAGCCAACTAACTCAGAAAACAAAAAAGGGATTAAAAGCGGGGATTTTTTTTATCCGATTTAGGTGTCAAAGATAACTTGAATTAAAATATGTACCAAATAAGAGACTTATAGTAATGTGTAAAGTCACACACTAACACAGAATGAGAAATAATATCATGTTTGATATGATTATATATGAGTATATTCTCGTAATGAATAACGAGTGAAAAACAATAGTGAGTTCAGATAACTCAAACAAGACATGTATATCCCACCTCACTAGTGGATCATAGTCTATTAAGTCTGTATCTAGAACAAGCATCTATGTATGCTGGGAAGTATAAGTTCCCATTTCGATCAATATTAAGAGAGGATATTATAGACGTATAGATGTATAGATTTAAGAATTATGTACAAACTTGGGACCATGAGTATCATAACCTTTTGAAGTTTGATTAAGGAATTTCTATTAAATTCATTTGACAGAACTTAGTATAATAGTTACTGTTTCGTATCTATTAGTACCATGAATGGTAGTTTCATTCACAGAAAATTCCAGCTTTTAAAGTGATAAATTTCTTGACATTTAATTGGAATGTTACATCCAATAACCTTTGAAATTAAATGATAGAATGACTAAATTAAAAATCAAATTACAGCTGACAATATCAGATATTACATTTCAGTATAGAATCTCAAAAGCAGGAAGGTTATTTTTACACTAACTAATGATAGTGACCTCCATATATGGCGAGAACTACTTATATCCACATAAGTAGTATATAACAACGGTCAGACATAAAATGTATCTCAGTAGAAGATCGAGAAGGAAAGAACAGCAACGGAGAGCAATCAGTATGAAAATGCATGAACAATGAAATCTAAGATGATGGACAAAAGAAACATTCAATTTTGAGACAATTGATTGAAATTTTGCAAATTAACTATTTACTGTATAGTTCTCAGATTTTAGTGAGATATTCTGTAATTTTGTGCTCAAATACATTCGATTGTCCCCACTTGTGTTCTTTGTTCACTACACATATTGAAATGGGATAAAACTGACAGGGCATAGAACATCTTCAATATTACTACTAGTAAAATTTCTATGAAACTAAGTTATTTCAGTATTTATAATTAGATTTTTCTTAATAAAATCTATAAATATTTACGGTAAACTAACTAACTTTAAACATAAACTACTTATAAAATGTTTAAATTCGAAAAATACTACTTAAATAAATCATACATTCATTCACATACATAGTTTAGAAAGAAAAAAATTATTAAATTACAGTAAAAACCTTTATTATTACCACTAAATATTATCAATATAATTCATAATATTAAAGAATCTGTATGTGAATATTGTTATAAATATTTCAAAAGATTAAATATTGATCATTCTTCTATATCATATTGTATTTCATATATATCATGCTTATTATGACTAAAATTGAATATGGCGCTTTTAAATTTTTGTTTTAAACAAAAAATTTAAAATCAAAATCAATAAGCACATATAAGCAAAGATATTTCTGGGTTTTTTTAAAAAAAGCATGTCATTTTCAATAAAACGAATAATAATACAGAATAAATTCAAACAAAAATTAAAGGATATCAATATCAAGTAGCCTATTTAAACAAAAGAATATAAAATGGAGAAAAAACAAATTAACTTTTAAAATAACCAGGTAATAATGAATAAAAATTGTTAGTTGAAAGAAAATTTTAGAAAGAATGAAAAACAGAAAGAAAAATATGTTAAGAAATGGAGTATATATGGATATAAATGTTGAAGATTAATTAACCTGTCGACATGATGTTATTCTTTCATTTATTTTATTTCCTATCATTTATAGTTTTCGAAACAACAAATGTATTTACTCTGTATGTATATTTATTCATCTATGGATATGAGTACTATTTATTTAAGCAGGGATTTTCATACAGACTCGACATTTACTAACATTATTCAAAACTGGCCCTTCAGCTGCTTTCATAACAAAACCTACTGGTTTCTCAAATTGTGTAATGTTTGGATTAAGAGCTCTTAAATAATAAACTTTTGCATCTGACCAATAATGGCACATTCCTACATTATTATTACATTCAATAACTGGTGAATAACGAAAATGTTCCATACAGCTTCCAGGTGAAGATAATTGTTGACCTCCACCATGAGCACCAGAAGTATGCTAGAAATAATTATAAAGAGATGAAGTAAAAGCATAGTTAAACAATTTTTAAAGTATATCTGAAAGAATTATTGCAAATATTCATTTAATAAAAGGAACATATCAATTAGAACGAGAACGCTCAACCCAAAACTGAACTATGGGTACAATAGGTTATGTTGAGTGATTTTTAAAGATGACAGTTCGAATATAGATCTAGTCAAGGTTTAGCGAACACTGGAAAAAACCAAAAAATGCTGGACAATTGTTACATTCTATTTTTGATCCTCCCCATGAGTGAAACAATTTATTCCACATCAGCGGTTGGAAAATATGGTTCTCGTCGTAGTACTCAAAGCTATTAAGTTCAATCTTATATGAGGTTATGTTTTTTATATTACTAATTCAGGAAGTTAGGGGAGACAGATATCTCTAGTTTTCAATGGTCCGTTACCTGGTGTCACTCTGTATTATTGATGGAATATAACTTTTAACCAGTTTCTTCCCTTTAACAGACAGAATTTTTACTGTGATGTTAGGTAGTTATTATTATTATTATTATTATTATTATTATTATTAGCTTTATTCAATATTATAATTTTGGTACAATATAGAATTCTCAGCGCAAAGTATTTCAACAAGTTCCCGTTTCTTTCTTCTTGGTCGGTCCTGGCGATAAATATTGAGGAATCGCCAGTTAGATGTTAGCACTTCAGTGAATGAACAACTGAATAATGTACATTCTTTTCGTTGTACATTGCCAGCAACCATATTGTCTCTTATTGAGTTTTTTGTAACTTTGACAACGAAAGGTTGTACACTTTTCAGAAACGCAGCAGAATAGGTTATGCGATTAATAAACATAATGATATATTAAAACAAACAACAATAGATAACTTGTTGAAATATCTAGATGGCAGGAACAGGTAGCCCAGATGCTCAAGCAGGCCGCCGCATGTAGTCGGCAGGAACTCCTGGTTTTGCGTTAGTTAGTACTCGCCACTGAGGTTTATCTAAAACCTTAAGGCAATGATGCTCCCTGTAAGATTTGAACCGAGGTTACCCATTTTCATAATCCGAGATTTTGCGACTGAGTTATTCGAATCAAGCGATGTTGAGTTATTCAGACTAGTGACCACTATTTGACATGATCGGTAAAATTTGATCCGAACTAAGAACTTGATAAAAATGACATTTGTTATTATTCAGTGACTGAACAATCTAAAGCTTATGCTGATTAAAGCAGTTGAGGAGATAATATGATCTAATCAAAAGACTGAAATTAATGGATATCACTGTTACTTGTTTATGTCAAGTACATATTGATTACGATATCTAGCATATGAATAAAACATCATTGACTTAAATCTTAAACATCTGATGGAATGAAAGTACATTACAAGTGAAAGGAGTAAATATAAAGTTTTATTCATTTACAAATGAATTAATATACATCCCAAATAGATTTACTCAAACTTCACTAATTTCTTAACCTTTGATAAGTAATCTAAAAACAACTAAATTTCGAATGTAATCCTTATCACCAAATGATATTCTTTTTTCCAAGAGAAAATTTTCTCCCTAGACAAATAACGGGACTATGTTAAATGCAGAAAAGTAAATATTCATGGTTATGTTTTGTGTCTAAATGAGCTGGAAACCGTAGAAAACCCTCCATTCTAGAAATAAAGAAAACTTTCTGAATGTATTAATTCAAATCATTATTTCATAATCAAATCGAGAAATTACGTCGATTTTAAAAGGTGATGATTGATTTCTATCGATTTCCTTTACCGTCTTAGGAATTCCGAAAATATCAAATAACTTACAAGTATTAAACTAACACCTGTCCACAATTCAGTCCAAGTATTCGGACATGGTTGTAATGTTTCACCTTGACTGTGAAAAGCAAACACATGTGCAGGAGCTTCACAGACTACACATCTAGCAATTTGATCAGCCGTTTGATCTACTGGAATCGGTTGTTCAGATCGAGGTACCAATGTGGCCAACCAGTAGGATCGTTCATGCCTCATACTTGATTGACAAGTTGTATCTCTTTCACATTGAGTCATTGGTAATGAACTGAACTTTGACAAACATGAACTTGGTGTACCTAAATATGAATTTTGAAAAGTCCATTTGTATCAAAAAAATACGATTAAACAATTACTCGACTGTAAATGCTGTTTTTTAGTTTAAAGTACTGAAGGCCGACTATTGGAGACAGCTCAGGACTCTTATTTTCAGAAACGATTTGACAAGCTAATTAATATTCACCGTTTAACATGTGACCTAAAGAATATTAGTCCCATACTAAGATAGTATACATATTATACTAGATTTTTAAATTTAGAAAAAAACTTGAAAGGGTGTTAGTGGTCACTTCCCATTTTCATTTTCATTTCAGTCTATATATTTCTAACTTTGACACGAGTAAGAAAT